TTCGGTCCGATGCCGGGGCGGTCCCGAGCAGAGTATATATATACTTGACGTCTTTGTGATTCACGCATGTTATGTGTTATATATGCCGGGGTAAGCCCGATGTAGAAATAGTTTATATGTACCGGACTTCGGTCCGATATCGGGGTAAGCCCAAGGAAGTTTATTATGTTTATGTGTTATATGTTTATGTGATATGTGCTTGTTGTTATGACATGTATTCCAGACTTCGGTCCTATGCTGAGCGGGGCCCGATGCCGGACTTCTGTCCGATACCGAGCGGGGCCCGATACCGGGCGGGGCCTGATGCAATGGACAAGGCCCAGTATGTGTTATTGTGTGGTATGTGGTGGTTTGGGGGAGCTCACTAAGCTTTGTGCTTGCAGTTTTCAGTTTCGGTTTCAGGTACTTCTTCTAGCAAGGGCAAGGGCTCGGGATGATCGCATGACACACACCGTAGTTTTAGCCTGTGGTTGTTTTAGACTCTGATATTTTCTTATTTGATTTTGATACAATATTTAACATGATGTTTTGAGATACATTGATTTTCTTATGATGGTGGATGATTTATGGTTTTATTAATGATTTAAAAACGAAAATTTTGGACTATATTTTTGGGATGTTTCATATTATTTATAACAAAGTCATAAAAATATTAAAAAATGACCTTGAAGTCTAAAAAAATATTTTATTTAGATTTTAGTAGTCTGCAAATGATAAAAATATATATTTTTTTCAAACTGCAGACATTTGGTTCACCTCTTCTACTGCAAAGGTTTATAGATATTGTTCGCAACCTGCATACATTTTACCTCAGAAAAAACAAACAACACCTTACTAAAGTTATCACCCTTGAAGGGTGTAATAATATTTAGGAAGAGAGGCGAGTTTGGCGACGATTTATCAGACTATTTCGAGTGATAGTTAGGGTTGGCAGGGTAGCTTATCGATTGAATCTGCATGAGGAACTTAGCCATATTCACAACACCTTCCATGTTTCTCATCTTAGAAAGTGTGTGGATGATGATTCAACATTTGTGCCTTTGGATGGTATTTAGGTTGACGATTTCCTAAATTATGTTGAGAGACTAGTGGCGACCCTAGATAGGAAGGCGAATTCCTTGCACAACAAGGCGATATCTTTGGTCAAAGTGCAATGGTATCATCAAAAGGATTCCAAATGGATTTGGGAACCCAAGGCAGAGATGCAAGAGCACTACCCTGAGTTGTTCACAACAACAGACTTCGAGGACGAAGTTTGATTCAAGCGGGGGAGAAATGTAACATTCATTAATTAGGTAATTTACATTTTTGACCCTAAGTATGAAATTTAATTGCAAAAATGGTCCCCTGACTCTATAAGTAAGAAACGTGTGGTTTCTCATGTACGTTGGGCGTACCCTTATGTACGTTAGGGGTACGTGGCAATAATACAAACCATAATTTTTTAAGGTTTAAGAACTATTTAGAATCCTTAACTCTTTAAAACCTTTTCCCTCATCAGCCTCCATCTCCAAATTCGTCCCAAACAAACCCTAATCCATTGTGTGATCATTTTGAGCTTAAAAGAGTGTATTTGTGTGTTCTTGAAGGATGAAGAAATAATTTGAACCAAATTGGAATCTCAAGGTATCCTGGATCATTTTGAGCTTGAAAGAGTGTATTTATGTATCTCACCCTCAAGCATCACTTGAAGGTATAAAGCTTGGATCTTGATGATTTATCTGCTTAGATCATGTTAGCCTTGAAAGTGTGTTCATTTTGGTCCATAAGCTTGGTGTTCATGAGTATGGATTACTCTAACCAGTAGAGTTGTCCTTTAAGACGTTTTAAGGTGTTAGGGACCATAAAAATGTGATATTGGCCCTTCTATCCCTACCATGCAAGAGTTATGGTGTCTTAATAGATTAGTAAGTTAGGGTTTTAGCTTTTGGACCTATCCTATCAATGGATATTCATAAAGGTACAAACTTTATGACTTAAGACGATGTTTTGAGTCTAGATATGACTTTGGGTGGAAAACCCTTAGGGAATAAGCACTTAATGAGAATGAATGGGTTTAAATGGTGTACATTGGGTGTACCAAGTGGCACGCTAAGTGTACATGGTTGGTGTACCATAATTTGGCTGAATTGTTGGTTATGCGGGCGTAATAGCTGAATACATTGGGGTACTCAATCATATTTAATTTTCTTTGACTTTTGACTTTCTGACTTTGACCTTTGACCTGGGGCCTGATCACGTTTCACCTAGGGGAATTTTGGGTATTTTAAGCAATAGTTTGAGACTAGGTAATTGTTTGTTGTATAGGTGACCAATAGAGTCAGCAGTGGGAGTTGTGATATGTTCAACTACATTTCAGAGTGAGAGGTGAATTTTCCTCATTATACTTGTAGGTCTAAGGCACCAATGCCAGTCTACTAGGTTATGTATCCTTGAATATATGATGTTGCTATGATATAGTGATCTTTAGATCTGTATGATTATCTATTTGCTTGTTATATGTTTATCTGTTGTGTATGTCGACATAGTGTGGTTGGGTTGAGGCCATACTGCTTTGTGTCGTAAGCCAACAAACCCGGGGCAATCCAACCGGGAGGTTATGGGCTAGGATAATTCAACTGGGAGGTTGTGGACCCAGTATGCAATATGTATGGCAATCCAAAAATGAGGTTATGGGCCAGGGTAATCCAACTAGGAGGTTGTGTACCCAATATCCAATATGTATAGCAATCCAATCGAGAGGTTGTGGGTCAAGGTAATACAACCAGGAGGTTGTAGACCCAATATGTAGTATGTATATTTGTTTGATTGTGTGTGGTACTTTGGGTGAAATCACTAATCTTCGTGCTTACAATTTGATTTTATGGTTTCAGATATATTAGATGATCGGGGCAAGGTGAATACTTGATCGTGCACATCCTCCAGATTTTATGAGATTTTATATTGGGATACTTTGATTTGTGATATTGACACTTCAAAAACTATGTTTTGTAAAGATTTATGGTTTTGGTTGGTTTTGAAAAATGAAAATTTTACATTGATTTTTTGGATGTTACAACAATTACATCATTTTATTAATGCGTAGCGAGAAACATGGGTGTTACAATTCTCTCCCCTGTAGGATGATTATGTCTCAGGATCATGAATCAACAAATAGATGTGGGCAGCAACTCATCATGTCACTTTCGGTTTCCCAGGTGAGGTCGACCCAGACGTATGTTTCCATCGCACAAGCACTAGTTCGACAATCTTATGTCATAACTTCTTCATCTTACGGTCAACGAGCGCTTCGAGTTCTTCAAGTAGCCTCATATTCTCATCGATCCTTAACTTAGTAAGCGAAATTATATCACGAACTTCTCCTGAGAACTTCCTCAAATAATACACATGAAAAGTGTTATGAATACCTTCTAGGTCTTATGGTGATTATAGCTTGTAAGCTTGGTTCTTAATTCTTTGAAGAACTTTGAATGGTCCAATGAATCATAGACTCAATTTTCCTCGCTTTCCAAACCTAATAAGTCCCTTCCAAGTAGAGACTCTGAGCAACATCAAATCTCCAATCTCTAAAGTCATTGGTTGTCACTTATTGCCAGCATATCTCTTTTGTTGACTATGAGCTACTAACATCCTTTTACTAACATCCTTTCCCCGATCACTTTCAATTTTTCTATAGTTTGATAGACAATCTCGGGACCCATAAATTGCTTATCTCTAGCTTCAAGCCAACACGATGGCGTACAACATTTATGACTATACAACGCATGATAAGGGGCCATCTTAATGTTCAAATGGTAACTATTATTGTAGGGAAACTATACCAAAGGTAGATGCTTATCCCAATTACCGATAAATTCCAGAGTACAAGGTCTCAACATATCCTCTAGTATTTGAATTGTCCTTTCACCCTAACCATTAGTCTGCGGATGGTAGGTTGTACTTAAACACAACTTTGTACCAATCTCTTCCTGTAAGTTCTTATAAAACCTTTAAGTAAAATGACTGTCACGGTCTGATACAATTGTCAATGGAACATCGTGAAGCTTCACTATCCCTTTCATGTAAACATTTGCAAACTTATCCATAGACCATCTCTCGTTGACCACTATGAAGTGTGCACTCTTTGTGAATCTATCCACGATTACCCAAATCATATTGTGACCACTCTTTTGTCTTGGATAGTTCAGTCACAAAATCCATGGTGATGTCTTATATATATATATATATATATATATATATATATATATATATATATATATATATATATATAAAGAGAGGTGTGTAGGGTTTATATTATGTTTTGGTAAAATAAATAAAAGAAAATGAAAAAACAAATATAAATAAGGGTTATCTACACAAAAATCCCAATTTTTTTTCAAAAGTTTCAATAAAGTCTTAAAAGTTTTTTTTAACAGAAAAGTCCCAATATTTTGATGTTTTGCCTAAATTAACGAAAAAATCATTTTTTATATTTGAACAACAAATGATAAATTATATGATTTTTTCAAAATATTGAAACTTTTATGTTAAAAGAAACATTTAGGACTTTACTGAAGCTTTTTAAAAAAGTTTGGAACTTTTCTGTAGATACATTTCAAATACATTTAATTATGAAATAAAAAAAAATTATTTTAGACTAATGATGCAACTACATAACATTTTGGACCAAATTTTACAAAGCAAATTTACAATTTTATCTTTTTAAAATATTTGAGTAGTTTTCATTTTTTTTTTTTTCACTAGGCTAATGGTTAATTTGTACATAAGATGAGAAATATTTTAAAGGCGAAAGTGAAAAAGAAAACGTAAATGAAATAAAAACAAAACCCTCGTCCCACAAAACCCTAGCCTGTTCATCTCTATCTACAAAGAAAACTCTCAGGACAGAAAAACCTTAGCCGAAGGTCTCTCTCTCTCTCTCTCTCTCTCTCCCTAAACTAGCAAAAGAGTTCGTTACAGATAAACTCGAATGAAGTTGACGGTTGAAATCGGCGACGGTGATGGCTAGGGAGAAGGAGACGACTGGGGACGGCGAAGATACGTCTATAACTGTGTCTGTGCACGTAAGAGGTCGACGATAAAGCGACGGCGACGAGGAGAAAACGGGGAGGCAACGGCGTCGGGTTTTCTAATTTGGTATTTGGTTGGGTAGGTTTCGGATTTTATACTTACTACCTGGATAATTTTGGCAAAAAAACAGAACACCCCCTGAATCAAGACGGCTGCTATTATACTCAACAAGAAGCTGCGGCTCACCGGGTTTAGTTTTCCAGAAACAAGAATGGCAATGGCGTTCGCTACACCAACCAACACTTTCAAGAAACCCCCGTCTTATTTCTGGTTTTGTCATCCATGCCCTCGTTCAACTACTTCCATAGTGACATCTTCTTCTTGTCGGTCTATGCGGAGTTCTGATTCTAACAAGTCCCTTTACAGGTTTGCGTTCCTTATCATCTTCTTCCAAGCTTTGCAGCGTTCATTTGGTTTTTAATGTTATGGCTTTATTTCATAGGTTCAATTTTTCTTGTTGCCTCTTATTTATTTATTTATTAATGTAGTTATAACGGGGTTTTTGGATGTTAGGCAATGATTTGACTTCTGAGTCGACAAATCAGAATAAGATAGTAAGATTAGATGATTAAAGCTATTGTATGTATTTTGACAGTTTCGAAGTAATTAGGCTTGAAGAATTATAATCATAGCCATATAATATGTTGGTTAATAATGCAGTAGGTTGGACTCTTGTACCTCTTCAGGATGATAGTTATTGGATTCTTCTAAGTGTGGTTTTAGTTGAGTTTAACCTAAACATCATCAGTATACCTGTTTTTTTATTTTGCATCTATATCCATACATATTTCTTAGATTACTTCAGAAAATTCAAAACAAGTTACATATATCAGTATTTGTTCATCATGAAGATGAAATTGCTATAACATTTCATGATCTCATTCTAATTTTGCAGGTGGCAAGTTCAAAATCTCCATACTACAAAAGATCGTTTTTGCAGTACGTCCATGGCCCTTACTCCCTTTGGATTCAGCTCATGGTCAAATGTTAGTACCATGTCCTTTGATGAAAGCCGAAGATATGCCTACACAAGAAATAATCAATCATATGCTGATTTCAGGCTTCATGTAGAATCAAAAAGTGGTAATTCATATGCTCGAATGGTGCCACGTGGCAATAAAGATGGAATCCAGGAAAACACTTGCATCACACCTGTCTTGGACACTCATCCACAAAACCTATTCAGAAAAAAAGATGAGAAACCACAAACATGGAGTCAAGCAAGAGAAGTATTAAAAGCCACTAAAGAAAACACATATTTTTCTAATAAAGTCACCCTTGCTGTTCCTAATGTACCTAATGTACCCAGTGCTCAGTATGCAGGATCTGTCATAACTGAGCCCTGTAAACATGAGGATATACAAGAATCTTTAAGAAAGTCTCAAACCTTGTCACCACATGTTAATGTTGTCCCAAAAAAGGACTTAAAATTGGAGAAACCTAAGTTGGAGCAAACCATGTCACCACCTCAAGGGCAAAAACGTCCGGAGTTGAAGCAAAAGTTTTCAGAAGACACGCCTGTTAATGGTGTCCAGAAAAATGAATTGAAATTGGAGAAACCTAAGTTGGAGGATTTGAATGAAACGTATATTGTTCCATTAGATTTTAAGGAGTATTCTCATTTACAGAAGAAGCTTACAAGCATTTATGACAAGGTTCTTGTAGTTGATAACATCTCCATAGCCAAACAAGTGGTTGAAAAGCTTACAACTCAGTATCGTCATCTAGTCCATGCATGTGACACAGAGGCATGTATAAAAAATCTTGTTTCTTTCTGTATTAAAAGTCAAAAAGAAACACTCATAAGTCATAACACACTTTTGGTTGTAATTTTCAGGTGGCTGCAATTGATGTGAAGCAGGAGACACCTGTTGATCATGGAGAGGTTATATGCTTCAGCATTTATTCAGGGCATGAAGCTGATTTTGGAAATGGAAAATCTTGTATCTGGGTTGATGTTCTTGATGGTGGTGGAAAAAGTATGTTGGATATATTCTCACCTTTTTTCGAAGACCCATTTATTAAAAAGGTTAGTACTAGTATACAGTAGACACATTCTTTATGTCTTTATTTGGGTAAGAATATAAAAGCAATGTAGTTTATTTGGCATATTTACACCCTTAACAGGTGTTGTTATGTTATGTTGTTGTGTAGGTTTGGCATAACTATAGCTTTGATAACCATGTTATAGAGAATTACGGTCTTACCCTTGGTGGTTTTCATGCGGACACAATGCATATGGCACGATTATGGGATTCTTCTAGAAGAATGTCGGGTGGGTATTCTCTAGAAGCACTTACTAGTGATTCAAAGGGAATCATGTCAGGAGCTAATTTAGGTCCTAACGAAGAGTTAATCGGGAAAGTATCAATGAAAACCATTTTTGGGAGGAAAAAGCTGAAGAAAGATGGTAAGGAGGGTAAAGTTGTCATTATTCCTCCCGTTGAAGAGCTTCAAAGGGTAGAACGGGAACCATGGGTTTGTTACTCTGCTTTGGATTCGATAAGTACTCTCAAGCTTTACGAGAGATTGAAAAGTAAACTATCGAATAGGGAGTGGAAGTTTAATGGGGTTACAAAGGGGACATTGTTTGATTTTTATGAACAATATTGGCGTCCTTTTGGGGAGCTTTTGGTGAAAATGGAAACCGAAGGGATGCTGGTTGATCGTGATTATCTAATGGAAATTGAGAAAGTAGCAAAAGTGGAGCAACAGATTGCTGCTGATAGATTTAGAAACTGGGCATCAAAGCTGTGTGCAGATGCAAAGTTTATGAATGTTGGAAGTGATACACAGTTACGACAGCTCTTTTTTGGTGGCATTGAAAACAGGTAGAATTTTTATGAATCTTTAGCTTTTTGTTCAATGTTGAAAAAATTTTAGCCTTTGATTTTGATTGTTTGCATAATTTATTTTTGTTATGCAGCAAAGATCAAAGTCAATCTCTTCCAATGGAGAAAGAGTTTAAAGTTCCAAATGTTGACAACATTATTGAAGAAGGCAAAAAAACCGCGACTAAATTCCGTAAAATCAAACTGCATGCGATTTGTTCTGGTCTACAAACAGAGACATACACTGCATCCGGATGGCCTTCTGTTTGTGGGGATGCTTTGAAAACCCTTGCTGGAAAGATATCCATGGATTATGATTTTATAGATGATGACAATGAAGAGCTGGATGAAAACACAAGTGATGATTTTATTGATAAAAAACCCGGAAATTTCTCTAAAATTTCTGAAAATTCTTATGGCACGGCTTATGAGGCGTTTGGTGGGGGGTCTGAAGGACAGGAGGCTTGTCATGCAATTGCTGCGTTATGTGAAGTTTGCTCTATCGACTCGTTGATTTCCAACTTCATTCTTCCTTTACAGGTTAGAATAATTAGTTTTTAGTTAGTTGTAACTTGTAATCTATTGTTTCGAATTTAGAAAAATTAATAAATGTATTGGTTTTATTGTTATGTTCACAGGGTAGTCATATATCTGGTAGAAACGGGCGTATTCATTGTTCGTTGAATATCAACACGGAAACAGGACGCCTATCTGCTAGGAGACCAAATCTGCAGGTTACTTTTATTTGAATAATAACATAAATAAAAATATGATGTTGACATGTGTCATGTATGTTATCTTATCTTTGACTTTCAGAATCAACCTGCTTTAGAGAAGGATAGATACAAGATTCGTCAGGCGTTTATAGCAGCACCTGGGAACTCTCTTATCGTTGCTGATTATGGACAGGTAAAGTGGTTAAACTTTATTTTATTTATTTAAAAAAAAAAAAGATCAAGTGGTTGTATAAAAGTTAACTGATATATTTATGGTTTATAGTTGGAGCTTCGGATTCTTGCACATCTTGCAAACTGTAAGAGCATGTTGGATGCGTTTGAAGCTGGTGGAGATTTTCATTCAAGAACTGCCATGAACATGTATCCTTACATCCGTGAAGCCATTGAAAGTAAACAAGTTCTTCTAGAATGGCATCCTGAACCTGGTCAAGAAACTCCACCTGTTCCTCTTCTAAAGGTAAGGCAAGAGTTATATTTTTTGTCATTATCAGTGGGTGGTTTTCTGTATTAATAGTGTTTTGTTTATGATTAGGATATGTTTGCTTCTGAAAGGAGAAAAGCGAAGATGCTTAATTTTTCCATTGCATATGGGAAAACTGCTGTTGGGCTGTCACGTGACTGGAAGGTTTCGGTTAATGAAGCAAGAGAAACGGTTGCTCGGTGGTATGGAGGTAGAGAAGAAGTGCTGAGGTGGCAAGAAGCGCGTAAAAAGGAAGCTCGCAGAATCGGATGTGTGTATACATTGTTAGGACGTGCACGCACTTTTCCATCTACCAAAAATGCCCCTGCATCTCACAGAGGTCACATTGAACGTGCTGCCATTAATACCCCCGTCCAGGTTCATAACACCCTAATTTTTTTATTTAAAAAAAAAAAAATTAAAAACAAGCTAGGGGAGGGAGTAAAAGTTTGATATAAAAAAAATATTATGAACAGGGAAGTGCTGCTGATGTTGCTATGTGTGCCATGTTGGAAATATCTAAGAATGCTCGTTTGAGAGAACTTGGGTGGAAGCTGCTTTTACAGGTTAGGTTTGTTTTAATATTTTAAAGATAAATCTAATATAAAAACAGAAATAAAGAAATAAATGAGATTTGGAACACAACACACACAGGTTCATGATGAAGTGATATTGGAAGGGCCAACAGAGTCGGCAGAGATTGCAAAGAAGATAGTGGTGGATTGCATGTCAAAGCCTTTTGATGGGAAGAACATTCTCAAAGTTGGGCTATCAGTTGATGCTAAGTTTGCCAAGAACTGGTACTCTGCCAAATAGACTAGAGTCATTGATTGGTGATGGAAGTTTTGTCTGCCTGTGTGTTAATTTTGTATGAGTCTGGATCTTGAATAATGATTTTAGGTCCTGCTTCCTTGTAAAGTAGAAGTAGTAGTTTTTGAGTGACTTTGCAAAAGATTGATTCATGTGTATTTGCTTTGTATATAGTTTTCTTAGGTGTTTAGCTTCTGGTATTATTTATATGTAACTTGCATTCTAAGTAAGTGTAAAAAAGATGTTGAAGCCACTTGGTGTTTTTTTTTTTTTTACCTTTTTCATAGAAATCTTACTGTTTTTTATCACCATTTCTTTTTGCTAGAAGTAAGTCAACGCTAATTAGCTATCTATATCACCAACTTATAGACAGTTAACCAATTAAACTTGAAGTGAGTGTTGGTTAGTGGTTACAAATACTGTAAATCAAACCTTGAATTAGTACCCAATTGAGCTCATAACGTCTTGTAGGGTGTAGAGCCTTTTACTGTGACCTCATTATCAAACCAATAAAGCAAATGGAAAATGGATCAAAGAATTCACTCGCTACAATTGGGCTAAACATGACAGTTTAGACTGATATGAGACCCATGTGGTGGTCGGTGTCCCAATTGTATGATAAGGAGTTTGCGTTTTCCAAGTCATCAAATAAGGGTTTGGAATATGCTAGTAAACAGAATAATAATATATATATAAATATTTTATGCATACTATATCATCAAATCAGAGTGGCGCAGCGGAAGCGTGGTGGGCCCATAACCCACAGGTCCCAGGATCGAAACCTGGCTCTGATAACAGAGAAAAGCTTCCATAATTTTTTTCGTCCCTACACGTTCCTTCTTTAACTTTGTTACCCAGCTCAATATCAGACGCTATATTTAAAAAACTTTTTGAAATACTTTTAATAAATGTTACAACTTAAACCATACAAACATTATTTGTGTTTTGATGAAACCATAGTTTTTTTCATCCCTATTATTATTGACTTATTGTTTTGTCATCGTATCTTATTTACTTAACCATTGTATCCTGTATTCCAATAGTAAAAACCAATTCATGAAACCGATAGTAAAAAATAAATTAATTGAATGATTTATATCCTCTTAATTTTAATACCTGTTTTGTTCCATCTAAACACATTGTTTTTGACAAAATCTTAGTTTTAAAAGTAGTCATTCATAAGGAATGACGACCTTTGTTTTAGTTTCTTATATCTAATAACTGGGATTTAAACATAATCTGGCAAACCATTCAACTTTGCGTAAACTTTCCTTTAGTTAACTTTATAAGTGATATGTATGAGATCTTTATAGGATCCAGCTTGTAGTTTAAGTATTCTGATTATGGACCAAAAATGTAAAAAAAGAAAAACAGTTGTTGCTTGAAACCCATATGGATCATACAATTGAACTAACGTGAAACTAGAAGTCGCATGATAACTAAATTTTCATACTACAACATTCTATACTACTAATCCCAACTAAAACAACTGTCTGTCGCTAAAGAGGAGGGAAGTTACACACTATTGTGAGAGTCCTCATAGCAAATTAACAAAAACATAAACAAAACATGATGAACCCTAATCAAAACTACCAGAAACCACAACATGAATTATTGACTACAAGTCTGCTACAAGGGGGCACATGCTACCCTTCAATCGATCAAGAAACTCATCAATTTGGGGCATTTTCGGGTTCTGTAATTGAAGGCTATTTATGTCTTTCTCTTATATCATATCATCAAAGGGGGGCATATGTTGAAAGAAACCAACAGATGGGAACTCATAAAAACGCCTGCTTTTCATTGACAGCATATTTTACCATAAACCCAAGATTGCCCTCAACCCCACTGCTCCAAAAAAGAAAAAAGATCAAACAAATGTGATAACATTAGTTAATTATCTGAATATATATTGGTACATAAATAAAATAAGGTATGCATATGATACCCATGGAAATAATTTGCAATATGTGGTTCAGGGTGCATCACTTCCTGCAGTAGGTTTTCTGTTCAAGTAACGAATTACAGCATCTTCCACCCTATCAACCATACATACACAAAATAAGTCAAAAAAAAAGTACAATTATTATTGTATATGAATTTACAAGAGGTGATTTCCATTTATTTCGACTAGGGTATACATATATTCAGAACAATGTATCGGTGTTTCTTTTTGACTTGATGCAAAAAAGAAGCTTCTATAAGAAAACTGATTATTGAGATAAATGTAAAAATTACCTCCCTATCCCTAGATATATTATATTTCTAATATCTACATAGTATCAAAGCCAAACTTGAATTAGAAACAATAAAAAAAGAAAACAAAGAACTCACCATGGTTGATTATAAAACTCAGAACGATGCTCTTTCTCAGCAATTCGAGTAGCATCACCAGCAGCAGTTTTCAAATCCTTACTCTGTGATGCAATAAATGCATTAATGAACTCACTTGGTGACTGACTAAACCCTAAAAAGAAAGCCCTTCTACGCCTATGTTCATGAATTTTCTTAATTGCAGAACAAATCGCTTCATCACAAGCATCAATCTCCCTATGTTTCTCCAAATTCTCCAAGAAATTAGACATATCTTTATCCAATGAAAATGGGACATCCACAAGAACATCATAACACGTATTTCCAACCGGATTCACCCCAGAAAGCTTGATTTTATGCTCCAGATGTATAGGCTGTGGTGGGGATAAATGCTGTGAAATCTTTTGAGAAACCAATGCAAACTTCACTTTATCTTCTCCAAATAGTTTTCTAAGAGGTGGATCACATGTAAAGAAGGAAGTATCAGTTGGGATTTGAAGTTTTTTTGTTTTCACATATTGCCAGATGGCAGCTATAATTCGAGGGCGGGTCTCCACCTCGAGTCCAAGAACTTCACTTAAAGCAGGTGAAAGTTTGAATTTTTCAGGGGTGTAATTCATTTCTAATCGAATTATTGCAGTGAACTCTTTATCCCCTTTTCTTTTCACCTCAAAACCCTCATTAAGTGCCAAAGATCTAGAACTTTCCCACAAGATTACATGGTTATCCGGGTAGAGATTTTGGTCTAAGTAAATAGTGATTTTCTTGAAAAAAGATGAAAACTTTGGATTGTTTGAGGTTTCTGTTCCGTTTTCTAGTAACCTCCCGAGAATCTTGAGAGACCATGAAGGAGGCTCTGTGTTTTCTTTATGGATTCCGGAGTTTGTTTGGTTTGTGAATGTGTTGAAAATGTAAATTCTGAGCATTTTTTGGATGCGAGGAGGGTTCTTGATGGATTCTTGAATGTCGACTTTTTTTCTTGCAAGAGCGGAATCCACACGACCCTCGAATTCCAACAATTGAGTGTAAAGAGCGGATTCCGGTAAAAGGGCGGCTACTTTGTCCGGAATCTGCTTTTCCGGTGGACCTCTTTTTCTTCTCCGGGCTGCAGGGGTGAGTTCCATGGTTTTTAAAGGTGAACCACTAGCAGCACCAGAGGAACTTGGAGGTCTAGAAGATGGTTTTTGACCGGATCTTTTTGCATTCATGGGTGTTACGAGTGATGGAGATGAGACACCGATGTTACTGTTGCTATTAATCCCTACCATTGGATTTGGCTTCTGGGAAAGCGATTGGGCTTGAGCTTGAGCTTGTAACTGAGCTTGAAATCGAGCATGGGCAGCTCGAGCTTGAGCCTGAGCTTGAGCTTGAACGTATTGTGCTTGAGCTAGCGCCTGAGCCTGCGGCTCAGACAGCTGAAAGTGACCGGAAAAATGGGCTTCACCGCCGTCATGACTTTGAGGTTGTGGGTGGTGCGAATGGTTCATCGGTGGTGCCATAGATTGAGGAGCTGTTGCGCTTGAATTACCAAACCCAGTTGGAACACTCACGCCCCCAACGTTTTTCATTGAATTGTTCATATTATTACCACCCCCCGCCATTATTATCTCAATCTAACAAACCGTAATCACTATCTTCGTTACTTCCCACGATTCTATCAAACAGAGCCCTTCCTGAAACACTAATTCAAGTCAAAATCCCCAACCTTTTGCATTCAAATCGCAAATTACGTACATGGGTATACAAAGATTAAAAGAAACAACAAAAATAACACACGGATCAGTGTAATTGCAAATTGTGAGAGTTCAAGACACTGGTAGATACGAATTTGAAACCCTAGATTTTGTTGGATCGAGAGAAAATGGGAGAATTTGGGACTTACACCGAATGTTGAAAGGGATTTGGGGTTTCCTTTTGGGGGATGAGGGTTCCAAGTTGTGAGCTAAATTGCTTTCGATGACCTGTGCTTCTTTTACTTGATTGTTTTCCCTCTTCTCCGGAATCTCTTTTCCGCTCGCCTGTTCGCCGTTCGTGGCGTTCTTGTTGTGGGTTTCAATAAGCTCTCGAAGTTACCAAAGTGCCCTCGTTCAAACCCAAAAACTTACAGAAGAGATTTTTCTTCTCTATACTTTCTTTTCTAGTTAATTTATTAAAAAAAAAATACCTATATATTTTATGATTTTCGGTTTAAATAATTTTTCCAAAAATAAAAACCTATACTTTTTTATTTTTTATTTATTTTAATTGATCATCCGGTTTGAATGTAAACTTCCGTTTACGGATAAACATGAAGTTTATTGTTTTTTTTTTGCTTTGTGAAAGAAGTTTTTACTATTATGGTATTGTTATATGGCTATATAGGACACTAGGTCTGTAAAATATCTTTTGTACATGGTGATGTTTCTATTTTGAAATAGAAAAGATCATGAATATATATACTGATGATAACTATTTGATAAAAGATGGAACATGAGATTTATGTAGGATAAAAGAGGTTTTTATCTCTTGTAATACCACTTTTGTCAACCCTATTGGCGACTATCCCCTCCAGGAATACCAAGAGCCAAACAAAAGGGGTAATGGCTATATATGGAAAAACCAATAGAACTAAAATAAACGGTAATTGTTGCATGTGGGATTAGACAATGAGATGCGATAACGGTGTGACTTTAATCACGAGAAGATGATATTGTATAGTGTTAAGAGTTGTCGTATGGTTTTTGTTTGTGCATCAAATAAGGGAGTTGTCACATAGTTTTTGTTTGTGCATCAAATAAAGCTTCATTTATCTATACCCTTTTATAATTTAAACGTATCTCATAGTGATTGTGTTATTTTTTTTTTTAAATAAGTGATATTGTCATATTTATACATTTATTTATGTAGTATTTCAATACATTTTAGCTAAAATTTGGTTAATACAAAGATATTTGATATTTATTAGCAAATTCCATTTT